GCAAATCCTATTGACATTCAGTGGCTAGGCTCCTAGTCATTTAAGTGGTTATGAAAGTTTCATGCATTATCACAACAGTATCGTGCACCTTCTGTTTCTCTTGGTTTCTGTTGACTCTCTTTGACAGCAACAGAGACTGGAGGACAATCTGGCATCTTTCATAGATTCTGTGGTCAGAAGGGACAACTGTGATAATCTAGTCTGACCTGCATAACACAGGGGCTAGAACTTCCCTGAAATAATTTCTGTTTGAACTAGAGCATATCTTTCAGAAGAACATCCAATCTTGATTTAAAAATTGCCAGTGATGGAGAATCTTCCACAACTCTTGGTAAAAATTGTTCCAAAGATTTATTACTCTCACTCTTTCAAGAGTAGTCTCTTCCAAAAACCAGTAGACTGTCTATACTATATACATGTTGAAAGTTAGATTAACTCTGGGTCTTACCTGAGTAACATTGAACTCTGGATGACTAGTCAGGACCAGTTGGAAAGGTAATAAATGTCATTCACCTGACCAGTGTCTGGAAATTAGTTTCTTTCTATCTAGACTTCAGTTCCTTTCACAACTAGCAATGGAAGTACCAGAGTGTATCTCTTCCCCTGCATTCTTCGAGTTCCCAGCACTGTCCTGGGAGATATCCACTGAAATGTCACAGCTGTTGGAGTTAGAAACTTGAGCAGGGTGCAAAGGTGTATTTGCAGGGCTGTCCCTAGCAATTCTGAGGCCCTATGCAGCCCCTCTTTCCCCCCGCGAGGTGTGTGGGGCCCCAGGCCTCTGCGGGGGGGAGGGCAGATGGGGCTGGCTTGGGGGGCAGAGGGGAACCACCCCCCAGCATTCCTGCCGCCAGTGAGTGCAGACCTGGCCATGCTGCAGAACTCAGGGGAGTGGGGGTGGGGCTGGGGCGGAGCAAGGGTGGGAAGAGGCAGGGCTGGGACAGGGAATGAGTGGGGCGGAGCAGGGAAGAACCGGAGGAAGCTGGGGAAGAGCCGGAGCAGCGGCTGGAGCAGCACGCAGCTGCACAGGGCACCAGGAAATTTGGTTTCCTGCGTACTTTGCGTATGGATAAGGACGGCCCTGTGTATTTGTACTGCAATCTTGTTGGTTGAAATGGAGACTGCTTACAAATGGGCAGACTTAAGAATATAAGCCATGTCCCTTTCTTACTGGGCATAGATAGGGCCCTACCAAATTGACGGTCATGAAAAACGTATCGTGGACTGTGAAATCTGGTATCCCACCATGAAATCTGATCTTTTGTGTGCATTTACCCTATTTCAGGGGCTGGCAACCTTTCAGAAGTGGTGTGTTGAGTCTTCATTTATTCACTCTAATTTAAGGTTTTGCGTGCCAGTAATACATTTTAACGTTTTTAGAAGGTCTCTTTCTATAAGTCTATAATATATAACTAAACTATTGTTGTATGTAAAGTAAATAAGGTTTTTAAAATGTTTAAAAAGCTTAATTTAAAATTAAATTAAAATGCAGAGCCCCCTGGACTGGTGGCCAGGACCTGGGCAGTCTGAGTGCCACTGAAAATCAGCTTGCCTACCCCTGCCCTATTTTTTAGGTGACAAATCTGAGGAACTGTCATTGAGGTGTCATTAGAAGAAGTTTTGGAACAAATTGATAAACTAAACTGTAATAAGTCACCAGGACCAGATGGTATTCACCCAAGAGTTCTGAAGGAACTCAAATGTGAAATTGCAGAATTTCTAGCTGTAGTCTGTAACCTATCCTTTAAATCAACTTCTGTACAAAATGACTGGAGGATAACTAATGTGATACCAATTCTTAAAAAGGGCTCCAGAAGTGATCCCGGCAATTACAGGCCGGTAAACCTGACTTCAGTACCGGGCAAACTGGTTGAAATCATAGTAAAGAACAAAACTGTCAGACACATAGATGAACATAATTTGTTGGGGGAAGAGTCAACATGATTTTTGTAAAGGAAAATCATGCCTCACCAATCTACTAGAATTCTTTGAGGGGGTCAACAAGCATGTGGATAAGGGGCATCTACTGGATATAGTGTATTTAGATTTTCAGAAAGCCTTTGACAAGGTCCCTCACCAAAGGCTCTTCAGCAAAGTAAGCTGTTATGGGATAAGAGGGAAGATCCTCTCATGGATTGGTAACTGGTTAAAAGATAGGAAACAAAGGGTAGGAATAAATGGTCAGTTTTCAGAATGAAGAGAGGTAAATAGTGGTGTCCCCCAGGGGTCTGTACTGGGCCCAGTTCTATTCAATATATTCATAAATGATCTGGAAAAAGGGGTAAACAGTGAGGTGGCAAAATTTGCCAATGATACTAAATTGCTTGAAATAGTTAAGTCCCAGGCAGACTGCGAAGAGCTACAAAAGGATCTCTCAAAACTGGGTGACCAGGCAACAAAATGGCAGATGAAATTCAATGTTGAAAATGCAAAGTAATGCACCTTGGAAAAAAATTCCAACTATACATATAAAATGATGGGGTCTAAATTAGCTGTTACAACTCAAGAAAGAGATCTTGGAATCATTGTGAATAGTTCTCTGAAAATATCCACTCAGTGTGCAGCGCCAGTCAAAAAAGCAAACAGAGTGTTGGGAATCATTGAGAAAGGGATAGATAATAAGACAGAAAATATCATATTGCCCTCTATATAAATCCAGGGTACGCCTGCATCTTGAATACTGCCTGCAGAAGTGGTCACCCCATCTCAAAAAAGATACATTGGAATTGGGAAAGGTTCATTAAAGGGCAACAAAGATGATTAGAGGTATGGAACAGCTGCCATATGAGAAGAGATTAAGACTGCGACTTTTCAGCTTGGAAAAGAGACGACTAACGGGGGATATGATAGAGGTCTATAAAATCATGACTGGTGTGGAAAAAGTAAACAAGGAAGTGTTATTTATTCCGTCTCATAACACAAGAACTAGGGTCACCAAATGAAATTAATAGGCAGCAGCTTTAAAACAAACAAAAGGAAGTATTTTTTTCACACAACACACAGTCAACCCATGGAACTCCTTGCCAGAGGATGTTGTGAAGGCCAAGACTATAATAGGGTTCAAAAAAGAACTAAATAAGTTCATGGAGGATAGGTCAATCAATGGCTATTAGCCAGGATGGACAGGGATGGTGTTGCTATCCTGTGTTTGCCAGTAGCTGGGAATGGGCAACAGGGTATGAATCATTTGATTACCTGTTTTGTTCATTCTCTCTGGGGCCACCTAGCATTAGCCACTGTCAGAAGACAGGATACTGGGCTAGATGGACCTTTGGTCTGACCCAGTATGGCCTTCTTTTACTATACAGATTTCAGGGGGGAGACCAGTATTTCTCAAATTGGGGGTCCTGACCCAAAAGGGAGTTGCAGGG